CCGTGCTAACGCCATCTACGGTACTGGTCGTACTCAGCAAGCTCTTGTCAAGTCCGCTTCATCCAAGCTCAGACGCAATCTTCAGGTCCGTCAAGCCGCGGACAACACTATCCTGGTCGAGCCACCAACTACTGATCAACTGGCTCCATACTCATCAATGCTGATTGCCGCCAATGGCTCATTCAACGAGTATTCCGTCGGCTGCTCCCTGAAGAAGTCCGTTGCAGAGGGCAAGTCATTCGATCTCCACTTGTTTTTTGGTGCCGTTGCCGACGACAACTACATTGGCGCCGCAAACCGCGTCGGTGGTTTCTCCGTCTCCCAGGCAGGTGGATCGTCTATGACTACTGAGGTTAACGGTGTTGTTCCTATCACTGATGCCCTCCTGAACGAGCTCGTCCTCGGTGGCATCAAGGACATGGAGCCGGATACCGTTCAAAAGTACGTCGATGCCAAGCTGATCTGGCGTCTGGTTACTGTCGATGGCGATGACATTGGAGGCGACGCAATTAACGGCGGCCTTGTCCTGAACGTCAAGCACACCGTCGTCACACCAAAGGCTGATGTCAACGCTCAACCAATTGTTGCAGTGCCAAACTCTATCACGAACACCACGAACACTGATGCCCAGCCACTCCCGAGTGGTGTAGCTGCTACATCATTGTCATCTGCTGCTGCCACTGCTCTTTAGAGCGAAGCTATGAATATTAGGGTCTGTCTATCACTCATTAATGTATAAAAAGGGAATGATTCATGTACATACCCAAGCCAGAAACACCGCAAAAGTCATCATCTTTTCTTCACAAAGTCCATGGTCTATCTCATGTTTTGAGTCTGCCGAGACATATCTTCTAGCAATGGACAATGTAGAGAGCTAGGATTGTGGACTGGATCTCACATGCATCGAAACTTGTCAGACAGCTTCAATCCGGGTTGTGTCTTCACAGCTATCTATCCAGGCCACAGATGCAGATAGTGGCGTCAAGCATTGCCAGGGTACCACATGTTAGCGAATTGAAGCTGCATGCAAGGCACGTGTTTGCATGTAGCAACGATATGTATACTGACGAGAGCGAGCAAGGAAAGCTCAACCTTGTTGCTTCTCCAACAACCATAACTCCACTGAAGGATGATGGCAGCTGGAGCGTAGTCAGATGCTGCAGACCTTCGACGCTCCAGACGGCCTACTGAGTGTCGTGGTGCGCCTTGCCGCGAGGCGACTCACGTATTCCATCCTGCTTGCTGGCGAGGCAGAGGTGATTTGAGTCGTCACTCGGCCTCGTTCGAGATGATGGTGGAAACTTCGTCGACGAGCTTCACGCGGCTCACTGTCAACCACAACCTGACTTGCACGGCTCCTACACTCTCTTGCAGGGCAAGCAGGAACACATAACCTACCTCTACAAGTTGTGGCAGTGCGATATCCGCAACGAGGCTGGACAGCTTATGAGCGTAGAGTTCGCCTTGTCAGATGCTGCTGTTGCATTTCGATATCACTTCCCACAGGATGAACTGGACCTGCTGCCGAGGAAAGTACTGCGTGAGGCGACGACCTTCCATATAGCCAAAGCTGAGGATGACATTCAGCTTGCCCAGCCTTACGATGCGAGCAAATCACAGTATCAGACCTTCTACCAACCGCGTGACGATCGTGAGCAAGCCAGGATTGGTTCTGTAAAGCACACGGGAAAGTCGCCATACGGTTTCGGTCTGCCTGCGATGTTTAGAGCAACAATCGGCGGTAGACAAGCTTGGCTTATGTTGAAAGAAGCAGGATTCGACGGAAGCGCACCTGCGAGCCACATAGCGAGGATCTCAGAGGACGGCACTGTGTCTCTCGCCTTCCCAATGCCCTTCAATGGCAATGATGCTTTTGGCGAGGGCATGCCTGAGATGATGCTACCTTGGACATCACCCTGGCGTATACTGACTCTTGGCAGCAGCCCTCAGACACTGATCCAAGATACTAGTGTCACCGACCTGTCGCAACCGACTCAGATTGAGGACATCACCTGGATTCAGCCTGGCTCAACCTCTTGGAGCTGGTATGCCAATCCAAGCAATCCGATGAACTTCAGCGCTGCTAAAGCATATATTGATCTTGCTGCCGAGCGTGGCTGGCCGTACTCGCTTCTCGATGCCACTTGGGATCGACAGACCGAGGATGGTGAGCAGGTGACGCTAGAGGAGACAAGCCAATATGCTCGCTCTCGCGATGTTCGATTATGGGTGTGGATGAATTCTGCCGGACCCAACAACAATGCATCCGATGTAACTCCACGAGACCTGCTATTTGACGCTGCCACAAGACGGAAGACCATGCAGTGGTTGGTAGATCTGAATGTCGCTGGGATCAAGGTCGATGGTATTGAGAGTGAGAAGCAAGGCATGATGCAATACCTGCTCGACATTTTGGCTGATGCTGCAAATTTCAAGCTTATGATCGTCTTCCACAACTGTCCAGTGCCGCATGGTTGGGAGAGAACATGGCCGAATCTGCTGTCATCGGAAGGTCTTGTTACGTCAGAGTACTACACCAACAAGATCGCATATGCACCACAGATGCCTGAAAACAATGTCAATGAAGCTTTTGTCAGACTTACAATCGGACCTGCAGATTATGCGCCAGGCACAATCTCCCAGGACATCTATCCGCAAGATGCACCTTTGACGACGGTTGCTCATGAAATTGCACTCTTTGTAATCATCGATACTGGGCTTCGTTGCTTTCCTGAGAGTCCGCAGGTATACCGAGGTGTTGATCATGAAGTCATGAGCTTGCTGAGCAGGATACCTTTTGTGTGGGACGAGACTCGTTTCTTGATGGGGGAGCCAGGCAAGTTCTTCGTGGTTGCGAAGAGGAAAGGCCATGAGCTGTACATTGCAGGGATCAATGGAGAGACTGTACACATCGCTGAGTCAAGGACTGATCGAGCAGCGCAAGGTGCTCCTCGTCGTATCAGCCTGGCTATCGCAGAGCTCGGTATAGACAAACCTGTCCTGTCAGTCGCAGACCTTCCTGACAGTCGTGAGATACAGATCAATGCTGGTGTGAGCTCGAACAGCACGCATATCAACGTGCTGATGGAGCCATTTGGCGGGTTTGTGGTGGTCGTCCACATGTTGCACGGTCAGGCGCAAGTGGCATCACCTGATGTCACTGCGCAAAGGAGCGACTGGTTCTGGATTCAGGCCTTACTGATAGTCCTGCCCGTTGTGTCGTTGGCAGTTCTTTTGACCAGATGGAAGCCGAGACGCATCCTTGAAGCCAAGCGTGCATTATGAGCGTACGCCTCGAGATACAGCACGGGCTCCTCCTCCTTCGAAGAGTGGGTCATGATCGAGTCTGTAGTTTAATAGAATGTTGCGAGTCTTCTGATCATTTTGCATCGGTCGTTAGTCATTGAGACCCTGGTGCCGTGCCAAAAGTCGTGATCCATAAGATGAGGTCAAACCATGGTCCTGCTCAGGTACGCGCGCAAACTGTTCCATGGTTCTTCGCGAGCCAGACAAAGATATGCCCTTCCATTCGACGTTCAGTCATTGCACACTGCCGAAAGCCGTGCAAGCTCATCATGCTTCGGCCGAGTCAGCATCGTTGCGAACGTGTCGCTGACGCTCTTCCACAGCAGTGTGTAGTGCACTCTGCCTTCGAGGCCACCTGTGTTGCAGCTCCACAGGTGACCATTTCTCGCAGTCCAGTCTTGGTCAAGCTGCCTGCATGATGACCGAGTGGACAGATATGTAGACTGACTGGCGAGAGCACACATCTGAAAGGCGTACAGCTCGAATCGGCTGTCTGAGATGCTGCAACACTCGGCCCAAGATTATGCTACTCACCACGTATTACTCTACACTGGAAGCACTACAGGAGTGCAAGTCAATCGCAAGGCGGGTTCGTTGTGTTTCTTGCTGTTGCCAAGAGTACGGCGGTGCCTGCTCTGCCATTCGGTGAGTGGACTTCGATGTCGTTGTTTCAAGCTGTTCTCCTTGCTTTTACGCCATTCATGATGTATACTTGTCAGAGGAAGAATGGACATCGACGGTCTTTCCAGGCGCGCAGGTCGAGCATTGCTCGCCCCGATGGCAGACCAAATCTTGTCTCCGGTGGTCATGGGCGACGATCAGGACACGCAAGGAGACGACTCGAAGAAGGCCGTACCTATGGAGTCAAAGCTGAACATCCTCGTGTGGACATTGATGTCAGTCGGGAGGTCTTGGCGTCGAGGCTGTTCACTCCCAACTGACCAGCTCGCCACACAGCCTTTGACGTTCTTATCAAACGGCTTACAAGCCTGTGCACAGGCATACCACAGTTGGTGGTGATCGTCGCTGCACGGCATCACCAAGCCACTAACACTGCGACGAAGAAGACCAAGAAGCGTGGCCCACACGCAGCGGCGGCCTCAGCTCCCGCCATAGGAGCTATGGGAATGGGCAGCACTCAACAGCCGGCATCGAAGAAGAGATTCTTCACAATCTCAGCCAACAAGACCATGGCACATCCTAATCCGCAATGCATCTTAGACGGCGTCGTGGTCAGGGTACAATATGCTTGTGCTGGCAGCTCCAAGCTCTGCCGACTTGGACGCTTGTAGAGCTCGTCCTGAGAACATACTGATTCGCAGTAACTCCCATCGGCTGGTTGTCACGCCACCATTGAAGCAGGGTGACAGAAAGGACAAAGGTGCAAGTCGCTTACAGTCAAGATGTCAGACGACAATTGTAACCGTCTGCCTGCCTTCGATATGCGAGATTCAGCAGTCCGAAAGCGTCGAGCAACCCAGACAGCCAAACGAGCAGTATCGCAGAGCACAACACCGTCTCCCAAGCAGGAATCCTTTCCTGTTCCTGCAAAGCCTGTGTTGCATGATCTTCCACGCTATGCATCGATCACCAGAACGACTCGAGGGCCACAGAAGGCAGCTGGACTCCACAGGCAAGCAAAATGACAACAGCCAGGAGAGCTGTCATGCCCTGGTGAATTGGCAAAAGGAATGAGGTCGTACCCGGAATCGAACCGGGGTTACCGGAAACCTCTGATGCGGCATCAGAATCCGAGGTGCTAACCGCTACACTATACAACCACAGTGTGAGAGCTTAGCTTGAAATCTTGGGTACTCGATGTGCAGTAGAATCTCACCCAACAGCGAGGCTCTGCTCCTCGATACACATCATACATCCGCGACCCACGCACCAGCACGACATTCCTACGACAGAATCGATTGTCTCAGCTCGAAAGTACGTCGTGTGTACGTCCTGCAGGAAAATCATGGCGAAACTTTGTTGCCCACGACAAGCTTTCGTCTGAACCACATCTTTTCCGCACAGCGGCAACTATCACCATCACCACTATGCACCCTGACGTTGTCTAACAGGCTGAATGACATGCTCCGGCTTCTGAGGATAGCAATAGGCCTTCAAGGGACTAAGCTTGTCGACATGCTGCAGGGAGGGCGCACGACATTTTGCTGCTTCGTGGGCGGGCTTTCTCGCACCAACACCTAGTCATCGACTGTGGCTATGCTAGATTAGCGTGCTCGCCCCTGATAAGGTTGATACCTGGCTCATTCGATAGCCCTCGGACTCTAGTATTACAATACCACAATCGCAGCTGCACAGACAGCCCGGCTGCGACTTGATGAGCTGTTAAAGATTGAGATGAAAGCAGAGGTTGTCATCTTGGCAAGCATCTGTGAGGATCCGAGCTTCAGACGAACTTCGGCCGATGAACATATGTTACACTCACGATCACTTTGACATGTTCTGACGAGCTCTCTGCTGTGGATGATTGATAATGCATTGAGAACGATGTTCACAGTGAAGGAATACGGTAGACAAATCTCACATACTGTTGTGCAGTAGCTGCAGCCTTTGGGCAGTGCAGCACCCTGCGATGTGAGGTTCAGTCTCCTCGGGGCACTGAATGCACATGAGGAAACGTGGTTCGCAGTCGAGCAGCTTAGCAGTCTCGCAATGACCCTTCGATGGTACTATAGACGCAGCATGGCCATGTCGAGCCTACTAGCGAACGAGTCGCTGCTGGCTCCAGCTCATAGGCAACGCATGCTCCAATCATTGGGCAACACCGGTAAGCACGTTCGATCTCGCGCAGGCTTCACGACAATAGCAAATACGGTTTCCAAGGATGATCAGATCAAGTAGGCTTTGTGGGAGCGATCGAAGGGTGCACGATGGTGTGGATAATCGGTGGTAGCACGAGACACAGCCTCAAGAGGCCGCATGGAAGGTGGAGCTCACCTCATACTTCCACTACAGGCTTCCTAAGAAGCACCACAACCACGATCGATACGCAAACAAGCTTACGTCTTTGTCAGATCTAAGAAGCATCGCTGGGGAAACGCGATTGAAGGTCTTACAGGAATGACAGGCACAATTAAAGTATACGAGCTGCACGCTGTTCGAATGATTCACATACTTGTACACAATGTCTATGCACAGCCTAAGCACTCCGCCACTGAGGCCGCTATGAGTTTGTTCTCGCCGACAGCAAGACCTTGCATGTCTGGTCTGCTGCGCCTGAACGCTGTCAAGTCCCCAAAGCCTGCGTTCGCGCGGTGTTGCTTTCCTACCTGGATTTCCATAGTGCTCCCGGAGTCTTCCATGCGTGTTTCTGTTTTGTTCTTTCGCTACGCTGGTCAAACGACTTGAAACGACCAAGATCACCCACCCTTCCGCTCTGAACGACCAGGAACTGTGCCAGCATTGTCTGTTATCCATCGATCGGCCATCCTGAATTCACTTCACGCTTGTGAGCCTGGAAGTGATTCACGAAGTGAGCTTAGTGAGTCTCACCAGCATCGAGCAGCGAGCATTTAACTGTTCAGTGAGATCCCTCTTCGACTTCCACAACCTGTCTCTAGGGAAGTCCACAGCGACAGTCGTTCTTCCTGTTGGCAACCACGACCGAAGCGACGTCTTGCGAAACGGCTGGACACTCCGCAAGCGTCATCACGATCACCTTGTTGGAAGGTGCCTGATGTGTAAACGCCTGAGCATCTCGCGTGCCATTGGTGTCTCTTGAAGCAGAAGATCGCTGTTTGATACGGTCGACGTCCTCGAAGCAGCACGGCAACTCGCCCACCAACACGACAACAGTGTACACCTACCTCGACGGCCAGACTCCGAGCTCTTTAATCTCATCCGCCGGCGCAGCCTTGAGCACCCGCATTGCTGCCTAGTAGAAGATGTTATGAGTGGGAGTTGTGATTCCTCAAGAGATCGCAAACAATAGGTACTATGGTGGATATTAGCAGTCCATTTGTCTTGCAGCAAGCACAGCACAGCTTCTCGACTGCGCCATACACTTCGCAAGCCCAGAACATAGGTGCGTGAAGACAAGAGCTGAGAAAGCCAAGTATATTGACAGCCCTGCAGCAACTCCGCACAACATGAGCGCACGGCCTTCTCGGCGTGGCTTCGTACCGACTGTGGCGCAGCCTCGAACCCAGACAGGCCTGACGAACACTTCTTCCTCTGCGAGCAACCAACCAACAGCACAATCGGACCGAAATACGAGTGGCCAACAGCTTGCGCATACTGCTTTCAGTCCTGTGAACGCAGCTGCGTATTCCACTGCGCCTCCAGTCCTCTTTAACCAAGCCCTAGGCACCAATAAGTGGTTGACGGTGCCTCAGGACACAAATATCAGAAGCACCACTACTGCACAACGCGTGGACAACTACGACAGCACCTTGGTAGCTGAAGACCCTTGGCAGCTTGCTGTGGGCAACCAGCGATACTCTACCCAGCACCACGCCCTTTTCGCACAATACCCTGGGTTGCCACCAGACCGCCGAGTCACACCAGCAATTCAAATCACACCTGGCTCATCAACATACATCAGGCAACAAGATCAGTCCTTCGAGGCCAGTCCATTTCGACCTCTCCAGCAGCAGCAACAGCAACAGGACTATCTGTCGCCTCTCTACACGGCCATGGCGTACGAACAAGCCAACGAGATATCACAAAGACATGTTCCCGTCTCACCTGTCAGTCATCACAGTGGTCCATCGCGCGGAGTTACGCCCATAGGAGAGCCAATAACTCGAAAGCGATCCTTCTCGCAACTCGATCAGGCTACAGACAGTGCGCTTGATGACCCGTCACACAACGGCATCTACGACGAGACACCACCACAACAACGAATTACTCGAACAATCAAGCGCAGTGATGCCCCAATCAACGAGAATAACAAGTACATCTGCACTGTATCGTCGGAATGTGTCGATATGACCTTCGACCGCAAGTGCGAATGGAGGTAAGTCATCGTCTTGACATCCGCAAAGTTCGCTGACATCCTTAGCAAACACATGGACAAGCATGATCGTCCATATCGATGCCCGCATGAACAGTGCGCGAAACTACAAGGCTTCACATATTCTGGCGGTCTGCTCCGACACGAGCGAGAAGTGCACAACAAGCATGGTGGACCGAAGGCATTCCTGATGTGCCCACATCCGAACTGCAAGCGCCACACAGACAAAGGATTCACTCGGCGTGAGAATCTCCAAGAGCACCTACGTCGAGTTCATGCTGGCAAGGATGATCCGGCACAGATCACGGACGTCACTGATCTGGAGACACCTGCATCCGCACTATCCGGCCCGGAGAACGAGGAGTTATACGCTGCTCTCAACGTCAAAGGTCCACGATCTATCAATGATGACCACCAACGCACCGTATTTCCAGATGTTGATGACCTGAGAACCCAGGTCGAGCGACTCAAGGCGGAGAATAGTGCAAAGGATGCAGTGATCCAGCGCTTGGAGGAGGATGCTCGAATGCAGAACGACCGGATCTTCGCACTCGAGCAACGACTCATGCCACTCCAGCCACCAGCTGCCTGAAGACTCACGTACGCCGACGGCATCATGCCCTAATGTACAACGATGGCGTTACGGTATTTTGAAAGGCGGTTTCTTACGACAGCTGATACCCCGAGGATAAAACCACATGTGTTGAAGTCTGCTAGCGACGTGGCTTTCGGCGTCGCGTCTCTGATGGGCAATTTATACAAATACGCTGCTATAATGATTATCATATCGTCCTCGTTTACATCACATGCTTTCGTGTCGCGTTCGCTGTATGTGGTTAGCCGAATTCAAGATCGTGACGTACATACATTTCTATCGTAACTGACGGCATCACTCGTGGACTGCACTCTTGCTTGCGCAGTGCAGACATGGCCCGGACGAAGAAGGATGTGGTGAAGACAGGCGACAACAGCATCGAAGGAGTGAAGATTGAGAAGAAAGAGGTAACCAAGATCACATCAGACTCCAGACCACGCAAGTCAAAAGTTGAGATCGTCAAGATCGAGTCTGATGGGACGACATCTATTCCGTCGCCAAAGTCTAAGAAGCGAAAGTTGAAAGCTGAGGACGACACCATTGTAGAGCAAGAAGATACACCGAAAAAACGATCCAAGATCGTGAAGACTAAGGTTGAGGTCAAGGAGGAGATCAAAAGTGAGGATCAGCCAGGAGAGGCTAAGGTGAAACGAAAGAGAAAGACCAAAGAAGAGAAGGAAGCAGAGGCTATGCCGCTCGCAGCTCGCACGGTAGGACATAAGCTGTTCATTGGTGCTCATGTGAGTGCTTCTGGTGGTGAGTGCATACATTGTGTTGAGCGTGCCCGAGTTGTCATGATGCGTGGCTGCTTATACGCAGTCGCTACATATGACACACGGTTGCCACATCAAGAGACAATCACTAATGACATACAGGCGTCCACAAAGCGGTCCTCAACTCTGTCCATATTGGTGCCAATGCTTTCGCTCTCTTCCTGAAGTCTCAGCGAAAATGGGCCAATCCAGCTCTAGCTGACGATGTCGCTGCTATGTTTCACGCGAATTGCAAGACCCATACTTACGATCCAGCCAGCCACGTCGTTCCTCACGGCAGCTATCTCGTCAATTTGGCACACACCGACCCAGAGCGCACGAAACAAGCGTATGACTCCTTCTTAGACGATCTTCAACGCTGTGAGAGACTTGGTATCAAGCTCTACAACTTCCATCCCGGCAACACCACAGGTGGCGACAGAGCTACAGCGATTAAGCACC